TGGTTTATTGGAGATAGGAGTCTCACGGTCTCTCCTGCCCGGGCTGGCTTTGAACCGCGATCCTCAGATCTCAGTCTCCTGAGTAGCTAGGATTACAGGCGTGAGCCACCAGCGCCCGGCGAGACTCTTCTCTCCAATTAACCACTCAAAAAACCGGAAGTGGCACTGTGGCTCAAGTGGTAGAACACTAGCCTTGAGCTGAAGAGCTAAGGGACAGTGCCTAGGCCCAGAATTCAAGCCCCATGACCAACAAAAAGAAGAAGAAAGGAAGAAGAAGGAGGAGGAGGAGGAGAAGAGGAGTCCCATTTCTGGAGGGCTTCCTGGTTGGGTCCTCTGGTCAGACATTGATGCACCTTGCATATCTCATTTGATTGACCACACCTATAAATGAACAATTATCTATGTGTTATTTCTTCTCCCACCTCTGATATAACCACTTGGACTTCCTTCTACATTTTAGACCTTTCCTATCTTATGAGCTTGGCAATGGAGATGGAGTATCAAGACCCAACTCCCATTTCTAAAGCTCCAAAAGCTTCAGAAGCCAGATTTTTCTCAGATTTTCTTGTAGTCAGGGCATACATGGCCAAGCTTTAACAGATCAGGGCATCCTACCTGTGGTTTTGAATTAGAAGTCAGTGTTCAAGGTCATCAGGGTCTCTGCTTTGGTATGACTGTGCATCATTAGTCTCAGGAGCAACAGGAGTGCAGCACAGATGGTGATGGTAATGCATCATGACACAGACATGTCTACCACTGGTAGCAGTACACAGCGGCATCCTGACTGTGCCGGTTGTGCTAGAATGCTGGTTGTACCCCTTTAAGCTTGTTTAGTCAGCTTTTACTCCTGCCTTTCTGGTCACTCTTAGCTCTCCAACTGCCTTTCAACTTTTTTTTCCCCTTAAATCAGCCAATTTCTGTTGCTTCCAGCTAAAAATTCTGACAAAGTTAGCAGAGATCATGTGTGTTTAATTCAGTGGTGTCAAAGATTTTGCTCAGGATTCTCCTATATGCTGGAGGTCCTCAACCTAGAATGTAACTCCCAACTTTGCCTGAAGAAGATGTGCGAAATGGGATGTGCACGTTGTACTGAAGGGCAATGATGTAGCAACAGTGGTTTAAATCATCCAGCCTCTAGCCTGAGGAGGACCTCTCTGGATCTCTCTAACAGGGGGGAAGTAAGCAATTTCTACACTATTATTTGACAAATCCTCTAACAAAGGACTCGCCATTACCTCCCTTCCCGAGAGAAGGGTTCTCTGGAGCACAAGCGACCGCATCCCAGGACGCGCGGGGTTAGGGACCGGAAAGGGGGAGCGCGGACCAGGACAAGGGGTAGGTGGCAGGTGGGGGAAGCCTAGTCTAGGAGGTGCGAGCCCGACCCAGGAGGATATGGGAACGGGTGGCGGAGGGGGTGGGGGGTGAGGGGAGGCAGAAGCCCCGCTCAGGCCGGGGTGGATGCTCCCTGTCCGCTGCAGGCCTCGCCGGCGTGGACACAAGCATGCCCTCCGCGGGCCGCGCACCCAGCGCTCAGCCCGCACACCGCGGGCGGCGGGCACTGACCTGAAGGCGGGCCACGCAGCAGAACTCTGCCGAGGGGTTTCGGAGGTGGATCCTCTCCGATAGCAGGTTGCTACCGTAGGCGAAGTACAGGAAGGAGTCCCCGTGCTGCCCCGCGCTGTCCTCGTAGGCCGAGCTCGCCATGGCTGACAGAGTCGCAACGGCAGCTGAACCCGCCGCCACCTGGTTTAGAGAAAGACCGCTACGCGGGGGCGGGCGGAGCCGAGACAGCGCCCTTCTGATTGGCTGCGGCAAACCTGAGAGACCCACCTCCTTTGATTGGCCCGTCCCTCCCCACCCATCTCCTGCCCTCTGCTAGGTCCCGGAAACACCCTAGCGACGTGGCGACCCAGGCTCATTCCTCATTGGATATGCTCTTCTGATGTTCTGCCTCCTTCCCCAAACGCTCTGTGACTGGCAGGTATTAGGGCCAATGGGTACTTGCAGGGTCTATCCCTTGGGTCTCACGGGCGTGGCTTAAGCGGTTTCCGGGTTGTGGGAGGTCCTAGCCCTTGTCCAAGCCGGAATGACCGTGCATTTGAAGCCCCGCACCGCCCCCTCGCTCACCGTCTCCTTGCGGTCACCACCTCGCACCCCACTCGAGCCTTTGCCTCTGGAGGCCTGGGGAAGCTGGCGCTGAGTTCGAGGCCCCACTTGACGTGCACACGACACGGAGTACCACCGGGACCTGAAAATAACTTAGGGTCTTGGGCAAACACCTCTAATCTGATTTGCGTGCGTGTTGTCTTGAGACAGAGACTGCGTAGATAGCCCAGGCTGGCCTACCACATGCGACCCACCTCCCAAACGCTGGTAGTACAGTCCTGCACCATTGTGCCCACCTTCGTACTGTTGGTTGAAAAGAGCCCGGAGGCAATGGCTGGCCCTTTTGCTTAGCACTCAGGTGTGGACCCTGAATCCCCCTCCCTCCAGAAGGCACCAGGGCCTCTTGGAGAAATGTCATTGCCTGGTCATAAGCTTAGGAGTCAATCTCAAGAAAGAACAGCCTTCTGACAATTGGAGCATCAAAAAGATAATAGTCACTGCAGAATGATAAAACATTAAGTACATGAAAAGGCCACTCCCCCCACCCAAGAAAAGAGTAAGCCAAATTAAAGAGCAAAGGGAAAGCAAACCTTTCCACACTATTGTGACTATCACCCCCATTCTTACTCTGAAAAATGGCAATATCCAGGTCACTGCCTTCCCAATACTGGGTTATAAGAAAACAGTTTCATCTGTATAGTATGTCTGTTCACTAAGTGGTGCAGAGGAAATGATAGAAATGGAGGCCTCCATTCTGCAGTCCCTAACGAAACAACAGATCCATGCCAGGTTCAATGAAACCATCTATGAAAAAGGCTAAAGGGAGTCTTTACTGGGTATCAGTCATCCTCAGGGATTTCTCCTGGTCATTAAGGGAAAACATAATCCTTCTACTTTATCCCAAATCAATCTCACCAGTGAAAAAGGGCCAGCCTTACTGTGTGTCTCCTGATGTGATCTATCTGTAAATGTCTCCCAAAATCTGTATTCTCAGCATAAGCCTTTAAAACTACCTTCCTGTAGGAGCAACAACTATAAAAAGACATCAAGAGGAAACAAAGGGAAAAACCCAGAACAACTGGGGACATCCTACTGAAAAATGGCTCAGGCTCTTAAATGTCATTGCCAGGTAAATGAAAATGGTCAGGCTCATTCTGGAAGCAAAGGAAGGATTGCTCATAATTTTGAAGCCAACCTGGGCTGCAGAGTTTCAAAACAAATGTGAATTCTTGCTGGGCATGGTGGCACATGCCTTTAATCCCAGCACTCAGGAGATAGAAGCAGGAGGATTAAGTCTTCAAAGCCAGCCTGGACATACATAGGGAGACTTGTCTCAAACAAAACAGTAATGGCAAATAAAACACAATACTGAGGAAGACTTAAGAGACACTTGAGAGAATAAACACAATAACTTGATTCTGGTTTAATTAAATATAAAATAAATTTTAGGGAAAATTGAAAATTTTAAACAGGTTATAGATAATACTAATACTAATAGATAGAATCATGTAGAAAAATGTAATTTAGACCACATCCTGGCATTTGGGGTGAAATATTCACTTTTAAAATAATTCTGAAAAACACAGTGTTAAATGTTAAGTGGAATGATGTATATGTGGATGTTTACTGTATTATTTCTCTCCTGTATGTCAACATAGTATTGAGACCACAGTAAGCAATATCAATTGATATAACATTATAATTACATGTTATGTAATCTGCAAGTAGGAAGATTCATACCTCCACCCAACCCCAAGATCAAGGCAAAAATTGAAACATACCTTGGTATTCCAGGGAGCAAGTTGCTTGTCTTAGCAAATCACACACGATTTCATCATGTATTCTCAAGATCTCTTCTTTAGAATGTTATCATTTAAGACATCCTGCTTCTAAAATTGCTTTCAAATATGTAAAATGTTGAGGCTAGCCTCAAACTCAGTCTTCCTGCCTCAGTCTCCTGAGTACCTCCAAGTCCATCCATTTAATTATTTTAATGGTATTAATTCTACATGTCTTACTAATTGCTTAATTTTATGGCAATTGATTTTTCTCACTATTTTGCAGAATATTTATGAAGTTGAGCATTGGTGTTTCCTTAAACTTTACTGAAAAACTTTCACCACACTCCTCTGTGTAAATTGTAGTGTAATGATCCATGTTGGCCAGCAAGGGGTAGTATGATGGTAAAGTTAAGTTATATTTTTGTGTAAGTTATAAGATGTAGCCAAAACCATGTTAAAGTTGGTTGACATTCCCTGAATGTTCATTGAATTCCAGGCACTGGTCAAACTCTTGTATGTATCAGTTCATTTAATCCTGAAAGTGGCCCCACAAAGGAAGTTCTGATATTATCCTCCCATTCCATTAGCTGGAGCTCGGGGTATAGATTAACTTGCCTGGGGTTGTAGTTAGTAATGACTAGGAGTCTATCAGGCCATTGATCTCTAGAGTCACACCTGGGTGTTGCCTCTCAAATTTTCTCAATTGGTGTGTCCTGATGTTCTAGATAGAAACTATTGACAAATACCCACTTTGGGTGCAATCTCTTTGCTAGATGAGGGAATACTACAAAATAATGATTCTAGTCTTCAATCACTTGATAATAATGAGGTTACATTTCTTCCAAATATTGTCTTTTAACCCAGTGGTCTTCAGGTTTTTATTATTAAAATTTCTTAAGCATTCTTGAGCATGTATATGTACAATTATGTATATAGTAACATGCATTAACATACACATATTTAGTACTATATCATATTTGTAGCATTATGTTAATATGATTAGTATAGTAATAAAATACATTATATACATTATATTATATATTAACCTATTATATTATATATAAATATTAAAAACTAAGCTGTTTTAACTGTGTTGTGATTTGACCATGGACTAATTTTAAGGCAAATATACATGTAGGTCAAAATTAATTATAAGGGGCTGGGAAGGTGGCTCAGTGGTAGAGCGCTTGCCTTGCATGCATGAGGCCCTGGGTTCAATTCTTCAGCACCACATAAGCAAAAAGAAAAAAGCTGGAAGTGACGCTACGGCTCAAGTGGTAGAGCGCTAGCCTTGAGCTGAAGAGCTGAGGGACAGTGGCCAGGCCCAGAGTTCAAGCCCCACAACTGGGCCCCCCAAAAAATTAATTATAAATAGGAATTAATGGATGACCATATTTCAGATAGACTTTTTGTAAATTGTCTGTGTCTGCCTGACCTTGACACATCTTACTAGAAAATCATTATGCACAACATACTGAAAGTGATGAGATTTCACCAAAGCCTAAAAAATACCAAGTCTGTCCCTTTATTCTTTTTTTTGTTGTTGTTGTTGTTGGTTGTGGGTCTTGAACTCTGGGCCTGAGTGCTGTCCTTGTATTCTTCTGCTCAAGGCAAGCATTCTACCGCTTGAGCCACAGCGCCAATTCCAGTTTTCTAGTGCTTTATTAAAGATAAGAGTCTCACGGAGTTTCTTACCGGGGATGGCTTTGAACGGTGATCCTCAGATCTCAGCCTCCTCAGTAGCTAGGATTACAGGCGTGAGCCACTGGCGCCTGGCCTGTCCCTTTATTCTTCATTGTGTTTGCAAATTTAGTAAGGGCTCTAACGTATTCCTTTACACCAATCTCCTCTCCTCTTCCTCCCCACCTGTGTGTGTGTGTGTGTGTGTGTGTGTGTGTGTGTGTGTGTGTGTGTGTGTGTGTGTGTATGTTTCAGGCTTAAAATCAGGGCCTGGCTGTTGTCCTTTAGGTTACGGCTAGCGCTCTACCTCTGTGAGCCACAGCTCACTTCTTGCTTTTTGGTGGTTATTTGAAGAGAAGAGTCTCACAGACTTTCCCACCCAGGCTAACTTAGAACCATCATTCTCAGTGAAATTCCAGTTTCCTGAGTAGCTAGGATTATAGGCATGAGCCACCAGTGCCTGGCTACACCAATCTTTTAAATTATGCTTCCATTTTGTGAGAATCAGTTAATTTTGTTGGTGTAGGTGGGTCACACCTGCAATCCTAGCTATTCAGGAGGCTGAGATCTGTGGATCATGGTTTGAAGCCAGCCTGAGCAGGAAAATCCATGAGAAAGTCCATGCTAGCCTTGAGAAAAAAAGGAGCTTAGGGACAGCGCCCAAGCTCCAGGACCAGCAAAAAAAAAAAAGGTAATTCTTTGTAAATCCATTTAACCCCAAAGGGGCAAGTGACAATTAATCTTAAGAAGTAAAAGGTGTGTAGATGAGAATCGGCCCTCCTCAGGGGAGCACTCCCACTTCAGGACATCTCACACCTCTCTGTAACAAGGATGATCAGCTGGTTAGAGCTGTAAAGTTACAGTAGAGAAAAAAATCCCTACATTACTAGGTAAACGTACTTATTATACTCAACAAAATACAGGAAAATAAATTCTAATATTTTAGATTGAATTCTAATATTTTAGATTAGGTTTAGAACATTTTGTTTTTCACACCTTGGCAGACCAATTAGCTCCTCCATTCTGAGTACCTCTGATATAGCCAACTTGAGCATTCATCATTTTAATAGTGCTTCTAGGGGAGAATTTACATATCATGCAACTTGGATGACTGTATGAAAAGAAGGCCATGTGCCTGCTGAGGAAGGCCAGCTGATACTGGGGAAAGCCAGCCAGACACAGTGGTATTGCAGTGG